CACCATGTCCCAAAGCCACCGCGTGCGCGTGTTTGCTTTCTCTGGGTGAAAGTTCCTGAAATAACATTAATTCTGTACCACAGGCTATTGAAGAAGAGGGATTTTTTAAATTTGCCATGTGTAAGTTGTGCACAACTTGGCTCACGGCCTCAGACAAGACTTACGGGACCAAGGTTTGTTCGGATATACTGGGGGACTACGAGGAGCAGCAGCGCGCCTGGCGCAGGCTTTCCCTGCGGCGTGAGGAGAGCGGTCCCTGCACTGAACATCCCCTGAACTGCTCCCAGGTCTCATCTCGGAGAAAACCAGCTGCTTTACGCCAGAAGGAGCCTGAGAGCCAATTAATACATGTACAGCGTGGATAATTAGGGAACCAGGACTCAGGGGTGAAACGGGGGAGGCAGGTCATTTAGCAGCACAGGCATACTCATCATGTTCCCAAATGTAGCCAAAGCACAGGAGTTTTTCTTATAATTGTTACGTGCAGGGATATAGGAGTATGACCAGGGATGCCGGACCAGCGACACCTTTCATTAACAGTTGTTACTCACAGAACCCTTGCCCAAGACAGACAGCACAGTCAACGTATGCCAGGGGCAGCACGTGCAGAATCTTCTCCTCTGCTCCCAAGCTCTCCCTGAATACCTGCATCTTCTTACCAGGAACTCTTCCTCTTTACAGCTCTTCCACTGTTGGCGTCAAACAGAATAAACCGTGCTGCCAACAAGTTGAACCTGACGCTGTCATCTGTGAAGGCGAACAGTCTTTGAAGTTTCTGTTTAGATGGTGCACTGAAATTTTAGCCCGTCTCATGATGCATGAGTTGCAAAACAGAGCTTATGTGACATTTCTATTGAATGATTTACTGATTTTAATGTTGTTTAAAAACAACCTTTAAGCGATTTTACTTTGAAAATTCATAGCCATTGTCCAGTTAGTGGTCGTTTTGATCAAATCTGGCTAAGAGTTAGGGGAAAGTTGGGCACCATACAGCCTGAGCTTTCAAGTCCCCCATCAAAGAAACGCCATTGATTTCACTAGAACGTCAAGACCTCTTTCAGGACTGATGCAGACACTTGCATATTTATTTTAAGTCATGCTTACAGTCCTATTAAATGTGATGGTACTAGTCACTTAAATAAGCGTTGCAAATGTAGGTCCCTCGGCTATGAAGCAAAAGTAATTGGATTTATTTGACAGACTTACAAAAGAGCCAAGCTCAAACATTCTATCACATTACAGTCATATCAATGGTGAAACTTTAAGAGTGTATTTTTACAGCAGCAATAACTTTCCTGAAAGGGGAGGTAGTATTTTAACGGAAAAGTTAACTACCTTTTTACAGCAATATGTAAAACAATTTATGTTATATATAAGATTGATCAGTGATAAAAACATATTTCAGTTCACAGTTTTCTGAAACAAGGTAAAAAAATCATGGCTACTCTTTAACCACCTGAGGGTAATCAGAATTGCCTTGCTAACGCAAGCGAGCTACCAGATTTTAATCTGCTTGGACACAAGTCAGCTAGTCAGCTAAAAATACCACCCACTGAATGTCTACTTACCGGCTGAGATCTCACAAAAATAGCAAGGGAAACCTCAGACTTCCGCACCTCGGGTCACAGGGGATCAGGTGCTTCGCGTGGGATGGCTAAGGAAAATCAATCGGCTGACCATGCTGCGTTCAATGTGATAAAGTAGTATCTAATATTCCTATAATGCCCAGGCTGCCCAGTCCTCTTACTACCATGTGAGTGCATGTTTTGAATTGAATTTGATCTTGCTCTTAGTGAAACAATTACCTCTACAGCTCCAGCAACTGCTCCTAAGGGAGGAGACTGGCACGGCAGAGTGCTAAACCTCCTCCTGCTCCCTTTGAACTTCAAAATGAAGAAGCGCTTTAGAACCCACTGAAGATCGATGAGGTTGTGCACTAACTACGCAGTTGCGAAAAATTCCTCCTAAAATTTTATGAAGGCCGAGATAGGATTTGGGCATTAAATAACCAACAAACCAAGAAAGTCTTCATTAGAACTGAA